CTGGGGGCACAGGGAGTGCAGGTGGACCGAGACGTTCCGCTCCTGGGCGGGATCGCGGGCCACGCAGGTGTAGATGGAGTCAAGGGCAGGGACGGGCAGGGCCAGGCACAGGGTCTGGTTGTCCCCGCAGGGCTGTCCCGGCGGCGTCCCGGGATGCCAGGACACCGTGGCGTTGGTGCCCGGGGGCGGCTGGCACCGCAGGGTGAGGTTGCATTGCCGGGGGGTGAGGGAGAGCTGCTCCCTCTGGATCTTTGGCTCGGGCAGCGGAGCTGTTTGAGGTGCAAACAAACCCCGTCACACGCCCCGGGGAGGGGTGGAAGGGCAGAGATAGAGAGACAAAGAGAGAGCTCCCAGGAGAAAGGGGAAGCGCCGGGGCCGGGGTTGGTCCCAGAGCCGGGACCATCCCCGTGGCGGATGCTCCGTGGCAGCCCCAGCGATTTCCCTTCCCCTTTCCCAGCGGGGGCTGGGAGGGCACTTCCAGGAGCTGCTGCTGCTGCTCTGCAAGCACCCACCGTAGACGGAGAGGGTGAATTTTTGTGTCTCCAGCGTGGCCGGGTGCAGTGTAATCCGAACCTCGTAGACTCCGCTGTCTCCCCTCTCCAGCCTCCAGATCCTCAGCGCTGTCCCGTTGGGCATCTCCAGCCGGTCCCCGAACCGATCCTGGGGGTCGGGGCGCTCGAATCCACCCCGGCTGAACTCGGCCACCTGAAACTTGTGGCTGACGTTTGTAAAGACCCACTCGACCTTCTTCACCGTCCCGCTGAGGGGCAGGTCCGGGGAGAGCAGCACCGACCCCCCCGCCACGCCGTTCACGAGCCGCGTGGGAGCATCCAGAGCACCTGGTGGGGACAGGGACGGTGTGGGGGACCCCCCAGCGCTCGCCCCGTTCTGTCCCTCCCGAGGCACCCCCACCAGGCCCTGAGAGCCTCGGGAGCTCCCGGGAACGATGAATTTAACCCCCACACCCGTCCCTTTCCCTGGCGGCGTTCCCGGCTCTCAGGGACTGCCCGTGGGGCTGGGAACTCCCCCGGGGGCTCACGGGGCCTTGTCCCGGTGTCACCCCATGTCCCTCCATACCGTGTCACCCCACAGTAGGGACGCCACAGCCCCCATCGCCCCTAAGCCCGAGCGGGGCTCAGACCGGGCAGATTTAAAGTTAAATCTCCAGGAAATGTCCCCAAGGGTCAGGGACGGGCCAGGGACCACCCTCGGGGCTGGGACCCCCTCCCCCCGGGGCCGTGGGGGATGCTGGGGGCACACGATGCCCCGTCCCCGGTGTCACCCCACGCGTGCACAGGTAGAGGAAACTCTCCCCGCCGCGTGGGGCTGAAACAGGGGCGGGTTTAAGCCCAAACCTTGGGGACGCAGCTCGCCAGGAGCCCCCCCGGGGTGAGACTGGGGGGGACGGAGCGACAGACGGTTCCCAGACCGCAGCCCCCCGTCCCGTCCTGCCCTGCCCGGGGCCGGCCCCGCTCTCGCTCTCCCCGCGGCCGAGCAAAGACGGAGCCGAGGCGAGGGGGAAAGCGGGGCCGAGAAACCGCAGCCCCGCCGCAGCCTCGGGGGGTTGGGGGAGGTAAATTCATCGCCCCCCTCCCTCCTCTCCCCCCCTCGGCTCACGGGATGTGCTGCCCCACGCGCGCACGAGGAGGGGGGGGAGGGGGATCATTTTGGGACCCCCCCCACCAGCGGCTTGGCCCGGCCAAGGGGTCCCAGCAGCCCCCCCCCCCCGCCAGGGGATGAGCCAGCCCCTCCGGGCACCGCGAGCCTCTCGGGGATGGATTTTTGGGCGGCGGGGAATCAGGGAGGGGAGATTGAGCGACACCCCCCAATCCCCCTCCCCTCCCTGAGGGACCACCGGTGCCCTGGGACATCATTCCTGCTCCCTCCCCACCCCGGACACCTCATGGATTCCCCCCCCGGACCCCCCGACATTCATTTCTCGTGCGGGACCCAAAGTCGCGCTCTCGGTTCTGTCCCAGAGAGAGGTCTCTGAAAATTGGGGAGGGGGGGGAGGGGTTGCTAAAAACGGGGGGCCACGCGCGTGGGAACACCGCGATCCCCTCCCGGCCCGGCTGTTCTCCCACCCTCCCGCACCCACCTGCCACTCCCAGGAGCAGGACCAGCAGCCGGGGGGGCCCGGGGCGCGCCCCCATCGCTCCAAACCCACCGAGCTCTGCTCTGAGCGCCCGGGGAAGGGAACGCGAACCCAAAAACCACCTCGCAGGGGAGTGGCGAGCGCAGGACACGGCGGGGGCGACACCGAGCCCCGCGCGCGGCGCTGCCCCCAGAAACCCCGGCGGGGGTCGGGGCGACCCCTCCCCGGGTTCCCCCGGGGGTTGGAGCCGCTTCCCAAAGCGCTGCTGCCTCCTGGCCTTTGATTCCCACCTGGAATCAGGTGCGGTAAGAAGAGGGACGGGCCGGATGCAGCCGGCGCTGGGCAAACAACACCATCTGGGGTGGCTGAGCCACGGGGCGAGTCCTGGTCCCCGTGGCGGGGACGGGCTGGGGGACACGAGGGATCGGCCTGGCTGGAAACCCGGGGGAGAGGGCTTGGAAATGTCCCCGCTGGGCTCCCGGTCATGGGATGCTCCTGAACCCCACGCTCGGGGTGTCCCATCCGCCACTCCTGGGATGCTCCTGCGCCCTGCATCCCGCGTGTCCTGTGCCCCATATCCCGCGTGTCGTGCCCCCTGCATCCCGCGTGTCCTGTGCCCCATATCCCGCGTGTCGTGCCCCCTGCATCCCGCGTGTCCTGTCCCCAATCCCAGGATGATCCACAGGGCCTCAGGATGGTCCATGCGGCCCTGGGAGTCCACACGCGTGTCCCTGCACACACACACCCCCACACACGCACACTCGTGTCTCTGTGCCCGCCCCTCCCTCTCCTGCAGCTCCCCCGCGATCTCACCAACATTTATTTGCTGTTTTTACAGTGGGGGGGGGCGCGGGGGGGTCTGGGCGGGGGTCCCCGTGGCAGTGGGTGCTGGACACGCAGGCGGTGAGACCCCCCCCCCATTTCCGTGCACGGGCTACACGGGAACAGCGAGGGGAGGGGAGGGGAGGGGAGGGGAGGGTGGGGAGGGGAAGGGGAGGGGGCATTTCCCGTGGCTCTGCACCGGCGATGAACGGTCCCTTCTTCACCCCCCCAGGTCGGGGGGACACCGCGCTGTGTCCCCCCCGCTCCGTGTCCCTTTGGCAGTGGTGAAATAGGTTGGCAGTTTCCTCTCCCCCACCCCACGCGCGGACATCTCCCCACGGAGGGTCCCTGCGACACCCCGGGGGGGGTGCCGGAGGCTGGAGAGGGAGGTGGGGTGGGCGGGGGTCCGCGTGCTCCGGGGAGGGGGTTGGGGGGCTCATCGCGGTCCCGCCGTGCCACAAAGTGTCCCCCGCGATGTCCCCCCCCTTGCCCACCCCAGTG